TTTACAGTAAATACCTAGGAATGGATAGGAAATTCAGTAAAACGGTCATAATTCTTGATAGAAGCAGCAGGAACCCAAATCCTTTTAGGGTTTTTACTATCTCAATATGCTCACTTAAATGAGATATAAATGAATCAAAATGGGAGGTTACACATCGGGAGGTTCCCTCGTTAGCTGACTTTCAGGAAATTCACGAAAATACATTCTGTTAGAATGAAATTTTATAAACCCCCCACAGAATAGAAGCCCATCCCATGGGTTAAAATTCTCCATTGAAAATCGAGGTTCACTTTATGAAAAATGAACTAAAACAGATGAAAAATGGAAGAATCAACATTTCTCTATCAAATAACGCAAAAACTGGCACCGGGGCATGCTTTGTTACAAAGTTATAGCTTGCGGAACAGAGGCACCCCCTGGGCTTCTATTCTGTAAGGGGTTTACAGATTCTATGGTGCACTGTAATCCGACCGCTCCCTGCTCGGAACCGGATGGAACTGACTGGATTCCGACAACTGAATCCTATTGGATCCGTCCTTCGGATTTCATCGGAACCGGTAATCGGAATACGTCAGAAACTATGCAAATCAACTGGGATCTGATCAGATTCCGACAATCGGAATTCGATCGGATTCGGTCATCGGAATTCATCGGATTGAAACAGATCCGACAGAATCCGATGGCTGATCTTCGACCTGGGATTGTTTGAACGTGTTGATTTCGACCTAAATCAAGCGTTTTGTTCTGTTGAAAAAAAACGAACACGAACTGTTCTCAAGGCCATTCATCCATTACCCTGTCTATCTAGGTATCAGTTATCAACCACCATTAGCCAAAGCAAAAATCGGATATCTGATTTCTCATTGCAAAAGGATTACCAGGATTGCAAAATTCAGGAAAAAAAAAGCAATTACTTTCCAATCAAAGTAATCCTGTTAATGCTTTTGCAATTGGAAACCAAAAATCCATTTGTTTGCCCTTAATTCTCGCTAGGTGTTCGTCTATATAAAAAGCACTCCTTTTCTTCAGTAGTTGAAGCAGTCTTAAAGATTTTTTCAGTCTATTCGTGAATTTCTTGCTCACTGCACAAAATGTCATTTTCAAATCTTCCGTCGTTTTTACTTGTCGTCTTGTTGGAAAGTTTGTTAGGTATATATGCGTTCTTTTCCTCTATTCATATATTAATGCAACATATTATTTTCGTAACACAATGAAATTGTATTATAGGAATAGCTACGGTGCATTCCCAGTGTATTACGACATTGAAGCTAGATGCATTCACGTCAAAAGTCGAGCCACTTGACTATCCAATTGGGCATCATGTCACCTATGAGAAAAATTCCAATTGCAAGTGGCTAATATCTGCACCACAGTCGTATTGCATAAGGTAAAAAAGAACAAATCAATTAAAACATATAACTTTCAAAAATCCATTCGTTGAATAAGGTTCAATTTTACAATGCTATCCACCGAATCAGGTTATGACCCTGACATAATTACTGTCTATGATGGTCAGACTGCGAGTGACAGACAAATCGTCAAAGTGAGTGGTAAAAATCATCCATTACATTACTTCTACACTTCTGGTTCAAGCGCTCTTGTTAATTTTCTATCGGACTCGGACACTTATGTCGGGGACGGATTTACA